CACATCACACACCCACACAGCTGCAGACACCATGCCCTGCGCGGCGGGCAGTCGCTGCACGGCTGTCCCCGATCACACGCCAGGCCCGCCGGCGTTCACAAATCACCAATGTAGAGGAGTCTGCGGGCAGTACCTCCATGGCACCTGTGGTGTGGTGGACCTCAGGGCACCTCCGTGATGCATCGCATCTGCCACAACTGCCTGTCCTCCCGTTGGTTTCTTGGGTTTGTGTTTTTTGTACGGCGAGTGATGTTTTGATATTGTGAAGATTTTTTTTTTCGTTGACTTGTGTTTTTGTCGGGGGTTTAAATCGATGGGATGAGAGGTATGAGGGTGTTATGTTGAGGGTACGGTGGGAGGAAGGGGTGCATTGTGTAAACGGGTGCGTCGTTCTTGAGTGCTGGTGCATTCGTTGCCTCGTGTTGTCCTTCTAGAAGAGGTGCGACTATGAAACACAGCTATAGAACAACTCAACCAAAAACCTTCTACGTGTCCACGTGCAAAATGTGCATCGCATCACACAACGATGATTTATTTTCCGAACGCAGATCCACCAAAAGCGTACCACGTACAGCAGTACTTGGGTCCACGTGCTTGCCAACCAAGAGAATGAGCGGTGTTTGGAGGTAGCCCGACGTGGTAACGCTAGCTGCGCAAGTGACATGCATGATACGCTCTCTTCATGACCTATTTTGGCATTCGAGTGTAGTCAGTGCGCGAGAGTCCCTGTTTCACGACCTTTAGTTTTGTCTACGATATATGAGAATATTCTCATATAGTGAGATACTGTTTAAGAGAATTCTCTCTTATACCGTAGCCAACACGATATAACAGAAAGCCGGATTTAGGAGAGTGAAATTGGCTTGTACCGACCCTCTTTTAAACCGTAGCCCTACTGTACCGCCAAAAAATAGAACAGGTAAACAAAAAAAACGGTAACCTGGTTGCCGATTTCACGAAGTGAATTGGCTTGTTTTACAACGTCTTTGCCAAGCGACGAAAACCCAATCCCGATGGCAAACACCGGGGGGGGCGGCTTGTTTTACAACGTCGTTG